ATATATATACATATGACGGATGGGTAACAATGCGAGTCTGAATACTTTAATCCTTAGAATGTCTCAGAAAATGTCTGGTCCATGAATTCCGAATTGGCTGAAAGGAGAGAGAGACTTATTATTTCAAAGGCTCTTCGTGAGACACAGAAGAAATGGTGCCGAGAAGGCGGAGGACAGCCTTTCATGTGGAGGGCCATATGCACGTAATGATGAAAGATTAACAATGCATTTCTCTAAAAGGAAATGCACTGACCAACTGGTAAATTATATTAACACTTCACATGACGGCAAGAGCCCGGCTTTGGAAGAATAGTGCTTTCTGCAAAACTTCGTAATGGGAACCATAACTTTATCACTCTGGCATATTTCGAACAAAAATAGTTTGTCAATCATTGCATGTTGCGATGGGTGAACGACAAGAAAACATGGGCACATAAAAGCGACTTTGTATGGTATTGATGCACAGTGGGGTCGAACAAGTGTGCCAGGCTGGGAACGAAAAACAGCCTTGCGCCAAGAGCTCTGGACAGCGAGGAGTGCGCACTCGGCCCTGCGAACAAAAGCGGGTGGCTGGCTCATGGGACAATGCTGATGTCACAACACTCTGAGCCAGCACCACTGAGGCCTGTGTTCTAATCCAAAGAGCCATCTGTGCTTAAACCAGACTCAAGTGTAGTTCATTTGATGGTCTCAGTCCAGTCACTAAGTCGTGGCATAACAGCAATGCCCTTTGTTCATCCAGCAAAGCCTGATTTAGTGTCAACTCTTGTTCAAGAGCATTCTGCATTGGGAGGTTTGGCCAATTCCATCGTGGGTAGCTACTCAGAATTCAACCCCATTTCTCAGCAGTACCGCCTCTTTGCTATCAGCCCTGAACCGTCCGGCCACCTTTACTTAACCAATAATAACAGTTGTTGATTTACATAATTGTTCTTCCACATATGTGTTTAATCGTAGTGGTGTACATTCACTTTTAAGCTCACAATACACACATCTAGTCGTGTGTAAAAATAAATGTTTTCAAGTTTGTGTGATGATGTGTCGTACGTAATACGTTCACGATCACATGACCCAATAAGATTCAAATGTTAATATTTCCTCACATCTTACATGTGGAATGCAAAGTGTCTTGACAAGCACCCGAGAGCGCCACTCACCTCTGACGGTAGCCCCTCAGCCAGCAGTGGAGACATTCCAGCAGTGGAGACATTCCAGCATTCCCATGGCAAGTACCACTTTGCCCACACAGCAACCACTTTCTACTTGCCACTAGGTGGTCCTCATTTTATCGAGTGACAGGATGGGTCATATTCTTGGTTCTTTCGGTAAAGTCACGTGACTTTACCGAAAGAACCAAGAATATCAATTCCTGCAGTCACGAAAGTTGTAAGTCTGATAGGATGGGGTCAATTCCCCAGAACGTGGGCGAGACCTCGTAACCACCAATCCATTACACACGCACCACGTTAACCCTTGCCACCAGGACAAATACCAGAAATAACACTGAACGTGAGATGGACATTTAACTGCGTAAAACACATGCTTTTTGTAAGAACTGGTTATTTTCATCCTACACAACACTCATCTGCATTGACCTCCGTGAGGCAAAGCGGAGCAGACAATTCTACCGTGGCACACACGTGGGACAAATCAAACTGCGTGAAGGATGAATGAGACGCGTTTACCACATTCTGAGCACGTCTTGTGGTGAGCAATAAAGCTCAAGTTCCTCCATAGATGTGGCCGTAATCAATAATCGGCAGAGAAGCAGAAGCCCGATTCTGTGTGGATCACACTTTACAGTTCAACGTTACTGACTGGATTTTTTTTTTTATGATTTTTTTAGCTATTTTAAAAAATGTATAATTTACATTTTCATCCGGTTCCCTCTTCTTTGAACAAGTACATACATAGCCAACTAGCAGGGTTGGCTAAGTACAGTGCAAAAGAAGTTCAACATAGATACATACATGTAAAGCATGAACCGATACTGTTTGGATTGTGACCAATGTAACGATGATTGTAACTGTGATCTGTACCATCACAGGATGCCCATGAAAGAGAGCCTCACTACGTATTGGGCTCTTCCTGCTGAGATAAATATCATTTATCGAAAAGATAAAAATTCCGATCAACAACATATATTTAGTGCAACTGTTAGAAAAAACACAAACTCAAGAACAGAGAAAATACAATGAGTTATGCCCTACAAATATACGTGTACATTCTTCAACATTGGAACAAGGAAATTCTATGTGTTACTCCTATACAATGTGCTGGGAAACATTTAAATGATACATAAATTAAAATTATATTCTATGAATTACATTAGATGTGGAATAAATTACACTGGCCACCAAGTCGGGTTACGTGAAGCAGGAAGAACAAGTGTCATGCTAAGCAGCTATCAGTCGTTTCATTACAGACATAATATGAAGTTAGAAAAGACACGAAGAATGGTTTAATTATGTTTTGACAACCAATTACTCTGGATTACCATGCAATCATTTTCAAAAAATCAATTGGGGGAAAAAATGTCCACGAAATATATTAATTTTATTAAATCACTATTATTAGTTCCTTTTCTACATAAAACAAAACCATTCGTAAAGTATGTTAACACAATGCTCCCCGGGAGAGTTTGGAAGCACGTGTTCTATCGAATACATATTCCAGTTGACTTTGATAGTAAGCTTAGTTTGTGTTTGTATTATTATACTCTGTTGCTGGCTGCGTGACCTCATGTTTAGTGATGTCACCCCAATTGTAGGGTCCGCAGGGTCGAAGGCAACCTGAGACCTCATCACATTATGCACGACGCAGGCGGCAGCAAATATGAGCCATGAACAGTGGGTGGTGAACCGTGTGGACAAAGAGAGAACGTGTTCACCAAAGCGGGTGAACGTGTCGTGGCCACGTTTTGAATAATAATAATAATCACAGAATCATAACTGCTGTAAACTGCCCCTTCCTGAGCCAAGCTGGTACGGTATTCCGTACAGAGCCAGAAATGGCAGAGGTACACAGCACGCGTCGTCAGTGATGACGATGACGAAGTTTTTCACGACCATTTACGTATTTTCCTCTAGTGGGTGGCACTCCGGCACACGCGGCTTCCCTGCACAGCGGCGCACCCTGCGTGGGAGCCCCCCCGACTCATTGCCCGCACGCTGCGCCACTCTTGCTAACGGATGTGGCAGCAGTAAGTTCACACTGCGGTGAGCGGAGGATGGGACCGCACACGTACACTCATTTATTTTTTGGGTAAACGGGGGAAAACAAAAAAACTTCAAGGGTCCGTCGCTTGTGGGGAGTTGTTCACAGCGACTCGGAATAAAACATATGCCATCTCACGCCAGAGAGAAAGGGCATTTTTATGAGGCTCGCAAAGAAACACCCTGAATACGATGAATTTTCTCTTCATATTTCATAAAGCAGATGAGTGGTGTGGGTGTAAATGAGACGAGTGTATGTGCATATATACACAAACATACACAGTGCGTGGTGGTTGCGTACACTAGGATTGGTAGTTCACTTCAAGATAGGAACACTGCAAACTAGAAAAATGCTTTTGTAATCTCTGCACTAAATGTGTCTCCAGTTATAAGCAAACAGAAAAACACAAGTACCAACAAGGCTGAAGAAAGGCGAGTTGTTCAAAGTTCCATAAACATTTAAGTACATTGACAAATACATTATTTGAGATAACAATAAGACATTTCACATCCTTGCATCAATCCGCTCGTGAGTGCAGACCTCCCCATGCTGTGTTGGTCATGGGCATTGATTGACCATACTTCACCACACTGGTCAGTTTGAGTTCGTGAAAAGGGTGGGGGCAGGTTGGGGTCTAGGAATAATTCAGATAAGACTCGCCACTGATGTTAGCCGTGGCAATTACAAATACTTCATTGCAAATGATCACGCTAATTTATATTTCATATGTGTCTATTAACTAAAATTGTGTGAATGTCTTAAATTATTTCCTGGCAAGTTTATACAAAATAGTTGCTCTCAAGTGTCGCAAAAGTTTAATCAAACCTCTTAAAAAGCTTATTTCACCAAAAGATTTGTAAATGACTTGACTTCAATTAAAGTAATGAGATCACGAATGATTGATCAATCAAAAAAGCTGTGAACCTAAACGTTACAACAAGAGCAAAAATATGATAGTCTTTGGTTCTTTCGTTAAAGTCACGTTGATAGAAGAAAAAATAAACAAAATAAAATAATAAAAGTGAGCGTACTGGCAGTCTATAATGTAGACTGTAGCCTGGTAGACTGTAGCCTGGTTTTTAAGCTGGTGAGCGTACTGGCAGTCTATAATGTAAACTGTAGCAATGGTTATTAAACTGAACCTGAGTAAGCGTACTGGAAGTCTATAATGTAGACTTATTCTGGTTCTTTCAGTAAAAAAATACAAAAACCACGACGTTTCGATTACAACACAAGCTGTCGACCGCTTGTGTTGTAATCGAAACGTCGTGGTTTTTGTGTTTTTGTTCTACTTGGCTACAGTCTACATTATAGACTGCCAGTACGCTCACTTTTATCATTTAATTATCATTATATTTTTCTATCTCTGTGACTTTACCGAAAGAACCAAATAATATGAATTCCTGCAGTCAAAAAAGTTTTAAGTAAAAAACTAAAATATTACCTTTTGCCTTTCTGTTAAATGTTTACTCATTACAACTACAACGCAGTGAGAGATACACTAAATGCTGCTCTTCTTCTTGATAATAGAATAGCAAAGCAATGGAAAAGATTTCAAGAATTAAACTAATATCCCTTACAGTGGACTAGAGATAAAGTTATTCAGCCCCGAGTTGGTGGACTGGATTATCTGATGCTTTTGTTACATTTCCACATTAACACCCTGGATGCACTCACAGACGGTACTCACGCAACGGAGGGCCAAGAATTAAGCGCACGAATAAAAGCACACGTCTTAAATATCCACAGGGTGTGTCGTGCCGACACAGGTAGCCGATGCTTACCGATCCACCTCATTAGCGTCGTGAGGATCTGCAGGTACTTTGTCTTTTGCACGTTGAAAAAGGTGAATGGGCCCAGGAGGAGGAGAAAGGCTGCCTGTGGTGAAAACAACACGCACAGCGAGCTCAGTAAAACCCCCTAATTAGGCAGTCATTAACTATTTTTCATTTTACCCACAGGCATACCTTGCACCAACCACTAACGCTGAACATATACAACACAAGCATTCGATTCAACGCAAGGGCTGTGCAATAATAGTCGGCACATTTGCCTTCCAAGTGACCCAGCGTTCTACAAAGCCAGAACGTGCTCCCATCCCACCAGATTGGACACGCCAACGGAGCAAGCACAAGCACAGAGCTGCAGGATTTGAGATTGTTTTACTTGTCCCTGCAAGCAGCGCAGGGTTAAACACACTGAACCGGGCTGAGGCAAACACGTTTGGTTGAACAGAGCGACATTAATTGGACAAAGCCACTTTGGGCTTTGTTTTTTTCTTGTTTCAGGAGGTGTCGGAGCTGTCCGCTGACTCCCCATGCCAAACCTCATGCCCCCCCCCCCCCAACCTGGGCTGTGCAAATTAACATGGAGGGGAGAGCACACCAAATAAACGTATGCGGGCGGTCGTTTTTAGCATGATTAGGTTTGCCGATTTCCCCCGGCACGGTGGGTATGGGTCAAAGTGGCGCGTGTGCGTTATGGGCTGGTGTTGTCACGTGCCGCAGTGCGTGCTCGCGTGTGCGCGTGTGTACGTGCGTGTGTGCGTGTGTGCATGTGTGCTCGTGCCCAGATCTTTAAAATCCTGGAAAGATCCTTGAAAGATCTGGGCAAAGTCCCATCGGTGAGCTCCTCCGGCAGGCAAGGCTGCGTTGGCTGGGTCATGTAGCCCGCATGCCCAGCCACCGCATTCCTAAACAGCTTTTGTTCGGCCGGATCGAGGGGGCTAAACGGGCGCGGCACGGGCTAGAGAAGAGATGGAGTGATGTGGTACATGAGGAGGATGTGGAGCTGAGTGGACTTGCCGATGACTGGTATCAAGATCGGCCTCTGTGGAGGAGGCTCGTGAAGGACGCTACTGGGCAGTTGGAGGCAGTCGCCCTCCAACAACAACGGAGGGCGGAGGAGCGACGCTCACAACAATGAGCGGAGCGCCGGGTGGCTAAAGCACAACAAATTAGTACAGTAGGGGGCACAGGTGGTGCATCAGCCAGTCATCTCGGTCATCTCAGTCAGTCGACCCGTGGCACCTGGGTCTGCCCCGTGACCTCCTGCCAGCGGGCGTTCGACACTTTACGTGGCCTCAAGGTGCACATGGCCTGGCACAAGCGTCGTGGTGACGTCACCGCCACTTAGTGGCGAATGGCGGTTGTTGTTGTTGTTGTGTGCTCGTGTGTGCGCAGCGGTAGTGTAGTGGTTACCGCGCTGCGATCCGAACCCGGCAACCCGAGTTCAATTCCTGCTCACTGCCACCAACAGCAGTGACGATTATCTGAACCGGTCCTGGGCCTCCCCGAGGTCGACTCAGCCTCAAATAAGTAACGGATGCGGTGTGTAAACGTCGCCACTAGTGAGACCAAGGCGGCCGGGCGTGGTGTTGGCCACCCACCCCTCGTGTGTTAAGGCTATCCAGGGGATCTTTATATTGATCATTGTGCCGGCGATACAAGGAGCTCCATGAATTACCAGCGGTAAAGGTGCCACCTTGTAATTGCTCGCTCACTGCAAGTGCTGGCAGACGAGCCTGCCTCTACGAGCACGCAGGAGATCTCGAGAGATTCTCTGGATGGTGTTCTTGCCCACTCTTCCACGCTGCCAAGTCTTGGAAGGGATGGGAGTCACCCCCACTTTACCCTCGCCACCACACGTGAGCTGCCGATGGACGACCTGTGACGTACCCATTTAAACATATCCGTGTTCAACTTCTTTCGCACCGTACTAATTGGAGCTGTAGGGGAAGGACAATAAACTAAACACAAAAGCAGTTTTAAGGAAACTCGTTTTCAATCTAGATGTAACAGTGCATAGCTACAGTGGCTTCCTAATAGTTGGGTGGACAGAAGGGGTGGGGGGTAAAATAATTGTTTCAACTGCCAGTGGGCTAACCAGAGCACCACAACATGTAGCAGAGTGGAGAGTCGCAGAATCTCACCCACCAATATAATTGCGCAGCTCAAAATAATTTTATCTAAAGACCATTGCTCGTGTCATTTAGATAGCAACACACGACTTACAACGTTTACATCAGCAAACGAATGCACGACGTAATTTACGTGACAGTAATTTTTATCACCACGAACATTAATATTACGCAACTATCAACACCTCTAAAGATGCCATCGCATTGTCGTCATCAATACATAATTCAAAACAAAATTATATAGCACTTTGTAAAAACATTGCTATAATGTGGGACCTTTCTTTCCAGTATTAAAATATAACAACAGCTTCTACCCTTCCCGGCAATAAAACAACTGTGTCAAGAATCCTTAGTCAAGGAGTCCTGTCTGCATCAACCACACACACAGCACTTGGGCGTACTTGTTTGGTGTTTGAACATCTTGACACAGCTGTTTTATTAGAGACCAATCAGTTTCAGAGACAGTGCATCAAAGACTACCAGAGCGTGTCTTGTGTTTGCATGTTCACCACCACAAGTGCTGTGTGTGTGTTGATGCAGTGACAGGACTCATTGAATAAGGATTCTGTTTGGTGTTTTAACATCTTGACAAAGCTGTTTTATTGCCAGACAGGGTAAAACCTATTGTCGTAAAAACATTGCCGGATTAAGGATTTCTAAAGCTGTGGTGGTCAACGCAGTTTGTTTAACCATACTTCCCCACACTGGTCAGTGTCGGCCGGTGACGAGGGGAGGGGGAGGATCCACTGGATCAGATGTAACTCTCAACTGATATGAGCTGCTGCGACTGTCGCCACGAATTCATCTCAGCTCGCTGGCGTCATAAGCGCAATGTGCTAACCACTGCACCACCGTTCCCCACCCATCATCACAAATAACAATTAAAACTATCAACGTTATTAAAAAAACATGAATCAACCAACAGGATTACAAAGCAAAGCACCATTGTCATTCTTTCATAAAATATGCAAGCCGTTCTGAGCTTGTGTACAAAGATATATGGCAATATATCAAATGCACAAAACGAATTCAGAACAAAAGTTGCGGTTTGCTTGATTTAATTTGACCGTTAACATTATCAGCTCACACCCACTCGGACAAATGAGCCCGAGCACATCTTTGCAATCGTTCACGCATCATTAGCGGCAGTATGTCTGGAAGACCGGCCATATTCCTTGCACCGCGATCCCCCAAGACCTTTGCTGGGATCTCGTAGTCGAGAGCTCCATTGTGCTAATGGCTCCACTGTATCCACATAGCCAAACACAAGACAGACGTGCTGACAGATACGCAGACAGATACGATTTGAAATCTAAGTGGTGGCACCGTGGATAGAGCCGTGAACACGGCCACCTTAGTTTCATTCCTGACCATGGCTAAGATCAGCGGTGAGTGATATATGAAGTGGCAGTCGGGGCGCAGAGACCACCCCACCATCATTTAGCAACTCACACGGACCAGTGTGGTAAAGTATGGTCCAACAACCCCCGTATGACTGGAATGGTGGGGAGAGGCCCTGAAGATGTGGTTACATTTGGATCCAATTTGAATCCAAATTGTATTCTAATGTTTAAATAAGCTTACACACACAAAGATCACCCATACATCATGATACACAATCAGGGCAAGTGCTGTCCGTGAGCAACAAGGCACACGAGGTGGCGATGTGGCCAGAACAAAGTTCAGCTACTTTTGTCTTGCCAATGGTGATGTTTCACAACGTACCAGGTTGACCTAGGAGGAACACTGAGATATCACTTCCTGCTAATGTTGTGCGTGGCCAGGTTAGAGATTACAGTACCTCTACCCACACACATATATATAGATGTCCACGCAAGCACACACACAGGAGGGCACAAGAAGGAAGTGTTGGAGTAAAATAGAGCACAACGACTACTGCCAACACACTCTAAACATTTCTTCAAATAACTCCAGCAAAAAAAAAGAAACCATTCAGCTACAGGTAGGTAGCATGACATACAGCTGGGAGAACATGTGAACATGTGAACATGTGCAGAGAGGGAGACAGAGAGCACGTGCACTGGCAGGCAGGCAAGCTGAGAAACTGGCAGGCTCATTGAAGCAAGCAGGTCAAATAGCGAGTAGAGTTAATACATGTGCAATTAACTTAAAGCAAGCTTTCAAGAGGATGGTATACGTTCATATGCGAAGATAATTCAAATTGGTTGGCTTGATGAATACGCAAAAGCAAACAGTCTATAAGTGAAGTTACGCTGAATTGTATGGCTGTAGCCGTCCTCCGCTGAACATAAGCAACAAGTATGCTTGAGGCGAATAAAGCTATCGCAATGATCTTACTGAATATACACACCTCTCTATGCTGGAGATTTGGTGTCTCACATCCAACACACAGCACAAATGATCATTAGCTGGATGAGCAATTAAAAATGCCAAAACCTGCGGTGCGGTGAGGTGGTTCAGAGGTCACAGCACGTAGCCAGCAACTGCTGACCTCCTGGGTTACAAAGATGGTAGCCACCTGTGATTGAAGCGGTTTTAAAGCACTGAAGGTTCATGGTCTCCATCCAGTCGCCAATGACTGTACAAGAAAACGACGATGTGAACGTACACTCTGCACCGATGATGGCCGATGGTGAACAACAGTGATGGAGTGGCAGCTCATGAAGAAGAACGCGGCCTACAGGAGTCTGCCGAGGCGAGCGGCAGCCCCTTAAAGCGGTTCGTGCGCAGCTGCTCGGTGATGACCTGATGCCAAAAAATCCAGATGTGAGGAATTAAACAAATTATTGGTTTTTGATTGTCGTGCGACATGTCCATCGCAAAGTTTTGGGATGTGCGCGCTGCGAACTTTGTGAAGGATTAGAAGGAGACTTGAAACGAATTTCTGGAGAGAAGTCTCCGGAAAAAATAACTTCCAGTGGTCCCTTCTGTGCACACGGAGCACCGCAGTGTGTCTGCATTCTTTGTGCTGGATTCAGTCTCTTGACTTGAATCAATTGTGGCGAAAAGCTTCAAAATAATATATGATAAACTGTGCAATCAATACTTTTATCAGGATTCTTTATTCTACCCTTGAAACCCGATGCTGAACTCCACTCTGTGCTAAATATTTCAACCACTATCCAATCTTCTTACATTGGCCAGAAACATATTAACGGCCTCCCCCATATAGAGGCCGGAATGCCTAAACCCACAGAAGAACGAGAGACTGTGACCCTTCAAAGGTTGACTTGTAGTTGAGAAACCATATTAAGAAATAACCACAAACGTGAGAAATAGTAAAAAAATTATAAGAATGAGAAATGTAATAAAAAAATCACAAGTTTATAAAGATGCATACTGTATATGCATATTCAATTCTGTTCATTATTTTCATGAAATAAATGCACCAATAGGAAAGTCCAGATGGCTTGGGGAGGTCTTCATCCAGCAGTGGATTGACCACGTCTGGAGGCGATGATGAAGGAAGAGCTTTTGTGAAATGAGCATAAAAGTCATTAAAAAACACTCCGTCTAATAAAATAAATCAGAGTGGGAGTTTAAATAATTTACACTTACTAGAAACCTCTTGCTCATCCGCCATCTGTGCCTCTCTCCACCTGCTCTCCGAGCTTGCCTTGCGTAACATCTAAGAAATGTTCCCACAACACTCTCCGCTATTTGACGGTTTCATAATGCCGGCATCACCACTCTCTCTCTCTCTCCAGTTCCTCTGAAGCCACTCGGGAGGTCTGCAAACGAACGTCCGTGAAGCACACAGGTGAGTGGGCAGATTGGCCGTAATGAGCGCCTGTTAGTGAGGGAGCGGGTGGTGAAGAACATAACTCCCTCTCCGCAAAAACCTGACAGAGTCTTGACGGACAGATGAGATTTCCAGGCAGTTCAATGGAAACAGATTAGGGATTAGTTAACGTGCACTAAGTCCAAGCCACGTAAAACACATCATACACTGGGTGCCAGAGCTTGTGCCACATAGTACATAACTGATAGCCAACGGACACGAGTGCACATGCTTGTGAACCAGGCAAACGGTCGGAGTGGGGTGAACTTGCAATAGAAGTTTAATATATGAGCCCCCGAGTACGGATGTAAAGCCATGGTGGAGTTTCAATGTTTTAAATTTAAGGTTGAGAATTAAATTTGTCAGGTGAGCTGGCATCGGTCATTTATTCCTCTGGGATCAATATAAATTATGACCACTTTGTGATAATTCAGCAGTTGCATCCACACAACATCATGGATACATGCCGGGTCCAAGCAAGAACATCTGCTGGACTACATAGTGACGGACCAGCGGATGCGAACCCATGTCCTTGACACCAGGACCTACCGTGGAGCTGATCTGTCCTTCTGACCATCGACTAGTCATCTGTAAGATGCGCCTGCCTTTCTTCCA